GGACTAACTTCAAGAGGTCCCATATTCACTTCACAGGGGTACCAGAAGGGGAAGATAAAGAGCAAGAAATTGGAACTCTGTATGAAAAAATAGTGAAAGAAAATTTTCCTAATTTGGTGAAGGAAATAGACATGCAAGTCCAGGAGGCACAGAGAGTCCCAATTATGATGGATGCAAAGAGCCCCACTCCAAGACACACCATAATTAAAAGGCCAAAGGTTAAAGATAAAGAGATACTTTTAAACGCAGCAAGAGAAAAGTAGTTGGTTACCAGATGGTTGCCAGGTGGGAGGGAGGAGGGAAAGAATGAGTGAGGAGGTGAGGGGATTGAGAAGTACAACTAGGTAGTTACAGAATAGCCATGAGGATGTAAAGTGCAGTAAAGGAAATGGAGCAGCCAAAGAACTTATATGCATGACCCATGGACATGAACAATGGTGGGGGAACTGCTTGAGGGAGTAGGGGGTGCTGGGTGGAGGGGGGCCACAGTGGAAAAATCAGGACAACCGTAATAGCATAATCAAGGAAATATAATTTTAAAAGAACAAAGGAGACACTCAGCCACTTCTGCTCTAAATGGTACACAGAAGTGGCGGGGACAGAGGAGGCTGGAATTAAAGTAATCCAGAGGCAGGTTAAAGAAGTAGAGATAAAAAACAGTTCAGTTAGTGACAAAACCTAATTTAGGAGGTTCCCCCTCTATTAACACTCCTGTCCCAAGGTATTTTTCCATTTACAAATAAAAGGTGAAACCATATTCTTCTCAAAAGTGACAATTTAAGAACAATTGAACAAAAATCAGAGTGCTTTTAAGAGTAGTCACAACCCTACTTCCCTCAATCATCTGTCCCTGAAGCAAACCTAACCAGCAAGCCTGCACGCCTCTAAAAGACGTCACCAGTTACCTGGTGACAGCGACCACAAGGGAAAGACCCGAGGACCCGAGAGGCTTCCAGAAAATCTGCTTTGCCAACTTTAACCCCTTTGTAATAGAAACTTCAAAACTCTAGTGGTATTCTTCTGTCATCTCTTATTCTTTCCTTCGTCCTGGCATTTTAAACTGAACATACTACACACTTATAACGGCATAAGATCATGTTGTTAAAGGCTGGCTCCTACCGTGGACACTGTACTAACTGGACGTGTGGAGTCAGGACACGTGGGTGCCAGCCCTGGCCAAGGCACAGACTGACAGTGCGACTCTGGATGAGTCCCTTCTACCTTTTTGCTCAGTGGTACTATGGAAGTATGGAGTGGGACAGTTGATCTTTGTGACCTATTCAAGCTCTGAAGTTTAGATTTTCAAATCTAGAGAAATAAGACGCATCATCATACTATCATGTGTGTGGGGGGGGTGGGGGTACATTCCCCAGATACCCAAACTAAACATTCTTATGGGATTCTTTCACCTCCCAGTGTGCCAGTCATGTAACTGGGCACATGGAAAGCCAACATGGATAAAGTTCCAAAAGAAGAGCTCCAGGTGTGTGCTCAGGAGTGGAACTGATGCTCCCTTCGCTGTCTGCGTGTCGCACAGCCCTCCAGGTGAGCCCCAGCTGGGCCGGAACGCCGGGGTCGGGCGAACAACATCACAAGTAAAAGCGAAACAAAGCCAATACCTTTTACAGGTCCGCTCTTAGTCTTCCTACAAATCAAACATGACTACAGCAGTTTTAAGTTCTTCCTGGTATTATACCTTTTCACATCCCAAGACAATCAGGTCAATTTTCTTAACCAATAGTAAATGCTGCATCAAGGGTTGGTCAAATCTGGCCCACCGCCTATTTTGTACAGCCTGTGAACTAAGGATAGTTTCTACATTTTTAACTGGTTAAAAAAAAATAAAATATTTTGTAACAAGTGAAAATTTTATGAAGTTCGAATTTCAGTGCCCGTCAGTACAGTTTTACTGGAATGGAGCCACACTCATCCATGTGCAGGTCGCCTGGACTCCTTTCTCATTACGGCTGAGTCGAGTCACCACAAGTCTCAAATAACCCTTAACAGAAGCCTCATCTCACCCTTAACAGAAAAAGTCTGTGGCCTGTAAGTTACATCACAGCCTACACAGCCATCTCATTCCAATAATAAACACTTCCAAGGATCACCGATTATAAAAGACTTATGTGTAAACTCTGAATAGGAAAACAGTGAAAGAAGAAAAAGTGTTCCTATGGAATTTGGATCTTTCAATGTATGAAGGTAACACCGGAAATTTGTCATGTGTGTGCATCAATATGCAGCTTTCAAACCTGGAAGGGATGACAACTTCTCGATTTCACTGCCTGACTTCTGCAACTGTCTCTGCTAATGGAGACGATCAAATCTGTAGACCAAACGCCACCACCAGAGAACCCAGCTGCGGAACAGAACAGCACTACACAGGCAGGAAGTATTTCCCAAAGATGTCAAGGTCTCGCCTTCCAGTAAGGTGCCCACACTTTCTGAACCAGAAATAACTGGGACAAATGGTCTGACAAGTGTGAGTGTGCCACGGGAGGCCAGGGGACAGTTTCCGAGCCAGAGGCATCTGAGATGCACTGCTGTGATACTCACGGTGAGATTCCACAGAGCTGAGGGCCGAACAGGTTAACAGACATTTGCTCTCCCAGAGGGAGACTTCTGATAAATAGAATTATAAGAAGACAAGAATTACTCGCAAGCTTAGAGGTTTTAATAAGTGGGCTACTGGGGCTGTGAATCTGGGGATCAAGGTTTTTGGAGTACTCGGGCTACCTGTGTGGAACATTCTCACACTGTAAACATAAAATAAATTTAGCATCTTGACATGTGGTATTTCTCGGAAAGTATCTAGTCCCCAATCAGCTTCCTAGAAACACAGGGATATTAAAAATTAAAGGATGATGTCAAATAAATGTTTAATGAAAACTATGTCACATACTTGTTTTTCAGGTTTACAGGTGTATTTAAAAGACACTTTTACACTGACTATTACTAGTACAATTCAAACAGAAGGGGCATCAAAGCCAACACCAGTTCCGTTCTGAGGGCCTGTTTAGGAAAGATCGATGCCCCACCTAGAATTTGAGCACTTACCTCGGTTTGCCCCCTGCTATTCATTATTCAGCTGCTTTTCCTGAGGCCAGGAAAGTTCTCATTCCATTCAGGACCGGCTCAACAGTATCTCCTTCCTTTTTTGGTGTCCTCCCAAGACAGGCGATTCACACGGTACACGTGTGCACAGAGAAACCCAGAGCCCCCTACGTCTTCCTTCACGGGCCATTTCTGAATGGTTATGTGCTCCCCACACTCCTAACATCAGAGCCGACTCCTGCTGTAGCATTTATAAGCTCCGACAACGTGGGCTACCGCTCATTTTGTTTTGTCAAACGTGAAAGATATCTGAGCGGCAAGAAGCAACAGACCTTTGATGTGCTAAGTAAGGCTAAGTTATAACATTATGCCATGGGACTACAAACCTTCAAAGCGAAGTTTCTTCCCATGACTGCCTCACTGTTCATTAAAATATTATAGCAAACAGCTTCAGAACTGTCCATTTAAAAGATAAGGCAGTTGGTGCAAAGTGAAAGATCTCCTTTTAGCCTTCCATTTTCCTATTTTCTTATTACTCTTACAGCTTGCATACTCTTGAGTAAATGTCACAGCCAGAAGCAGCCTATTCCTATATTTATGCACCTAACTCCTTACATCACCTCATCTCTAAAGGGCACATGAAATGAAAACCATCTGCAGGAGCCTGTGGGTCAGAGAGGAGACCCCCGAGAGCATTCCCTCTGCACACCTGCCCCGCGGGACTGGCGGCAGAGGAGCTGCTGGCCTGGGGGACGTGTCAAGAGCAGGCGAGAGCTAGGGCACTGCTGGGCTGTCTTTTGTGAGTCAGACACTTAAACTTCAAATAAAAAGATTTAAGAGAGAAAAACCTAAATATATAAACACACCACTTTTCATGTCTTGACAAACTACCTTCTTGCCTCTGTTTCTCACAAATGCAGCAATCAATAAGGAATACTCATTTAAAATAATATTTTAATTTGAACAGGAAAGAACTTGGAAGGGAAGAATTAACCGTCATTGGAAGCTGTGTAACTGAGAAATTTATTTGGTAAATGGGATTCTCTCAGAAAATAATGACAACGAGGAGCCCTCAAATTTAGAACAAACACCAGCGGAGGGGAGATAGGGAAATTATGCAGGTAAACATGGCCCACGTTACCTACAAACCCATAGTTAGTGAGTTATGCTGTTAGTAGTTGTTCAAGAAGTGTGATCTTATGAGAAAACATTCCTTGGAATGGCAAAGGGTCCATGCTAAAGGAGAAAATAAACGTGTAAATCACAGCAGAAACCACATTAGGTAGGTATGTGCAGAGGGAAACAATTGGCCTTTTCTAAGAACAGATGTCCCTACAACTTTAAAATAGATTTCCTCTTACACATACAAATCATACTCATCTTCTTTCCTAATGGGTATTATCTTTTTGTATAAAAAATACTTTTCAAGTTAAGAAAGACAGAAACCAGCCCTGGCTGGCATAGCTCAGTGGACTGAGCGTGGGTCGCAAACCAAACAGTTGCCAGTTTGATTCCCAGTCAGGGCACATGCCTGGGTTGCAGGCCAGGTCCCCAGTGGGGGGGCGCATGAGAGGCAACTACACACTGATGTTTCTCCCTCTCTTTCTCCTTCCCTTCCCCTCTCTCTAGAAATAAACAGGATCTTTTTTTTTTTTTTAATTAACTTTAGCCCTGGGTGGTGTGGCTCAGTGGATTGAGTGCCAGCCTGTGAACAAAAAGGGTTGCCGGTTCGATTCCCAGTCAGAGCACATGCCTGGGTTGCAGGCCAGGTCCCCAGTGGGGGGCAAGTGAGAGGCAACCACACATTGATATTTCTCTTTCTCCCTCCCTTCTGTCTCTAAAAATAAATAAATAAAATCTTTTTTTTTAAAAAAGAAAGAGAAAGCACAGGATTTCACCCACATCTGTACAGAAATATTTACTTTGTGAGACAAAAAAACTCAAGATCACAGTACACAGTGGTTATTTATTTAAATACTTGAAAAGGTCAATGATGGAAAAAATAGGTTTATCATGGGAGTTTATATTCATTAGATGTACTTTACCATTTAAAAAAAGTGCTGCTTTCCGGCTGCCCTGGCCGGGTACAGAACACTTCATGACACATGCAGCTACTGGAACGCACTACAGCAGACACAGCCTCTCTGAATGATTCATGTACTTCGGGAGGAAACTCACCAGTAGTAATGGTGACTGTTTATTTAAACTAAAATATCGGTAATATACAAATCTGTTTCTCATTTGATTGAAAGGGCTACAAAATTCAACACAGCGACAAAGGAAACGACATGATCACGTGGTAACACCTCTGGCCTACCGGCCCCTTCCAGGGGGCCCCTGGCTCGGCTCCGCAGCCGTCTGGACCGCACGGTGGCTGCAGGGCTGGCCCGCCCCCCGATGACTGAGAGAGGCTGTGCTGGTAAGCTGACACTGACTCGTTTGCTTGGAATAACGGAGAGAAAATGGCAAAGATCATTCTGAATAAGCGTGAAATAAATAAGTGATCCACGAGTAAACACAATCTGAGCTGACTTAAACCTGGGAGAGTGAGGCAGCTGAGCACTAACAATACCGTGTAGAAACATCTAGAAATATTGTTTCTAGAACTCAGTTTGGGAGACCATATCTTGCCTGAATATGTACATTATTTACAAAATATTCCCTTTTGGCCTCTGGAAGTTAGCCATTTTAGTCTGGCTGTTAAGCTGTTTCTTTCCATACGCTAGTCAATACTGCAGTTACAACTATCATGAATTACAAATAATTAATAAAGTAACTCTGCATGTATAAATATGTCAATATTTCTAGCAGAATTTAAAGCATTCAGAATGTACATAAAAGTATTTGTTTTTGGTAGGGGCCAGTATTTTTTTTTTAATCACCGCTGTTTCAATAATGCTTTGTACATAGCAAAGCCCAAAACGGCAAAAACAGTAGCACCAAAACTTGCTCGAAGCCAAAACGTGGAGCTCTTGAGGTCAGCTTGTGTCACGTGCCTGTAGTCAGAAAATATAATTAATGTTTAAAACATGGTTAGTATGAAAATACCAGTATTAACAGTCTACTTTCAGGGAAGTATTAGCACACTTGTCAGGCTAATTGCATACAGTAATGCTTACCAAAAGTATTTATCAATATAGCCACATGTACACTGCTTAGATAATCATTATCTTATAATGTAGACATTAATACAATTAAATGTCTTTATAATTAGCTACTACTTGGGAGTAAACAACATCTAAATTTTTATACGTTTTCTTCACGTGGGAAATGGAGGACTTAGGCAAATCAATGTACCACTTCATAATACCACCATGGTTGTTCAAGATGAAGGGCAAGATGGGGATCTCACTATTTTGCGAGTCAGCTTCATGGAACTTAATGTGCTTTCTTGAGTCCCCAGGAACTGAAAGCTATCTTGTAAGCAGTTAAGTGACAAGTGACAATACTTTTCTAAGAGCAATGCTTAAAGTCAACTTTGGAAATATTGAGCCCCATAAAAATTTACCAAAATAATGCCAAAGGGGTTGGGTAGGATTTAGCAGTTTGCATTAATTTGGTTATTGCTAATTAAAGAAAGGAAAACAAACAAACCAACAACAAACCAACCAACCAACCCTGGTATTAGACAGGCAGTGACAATGTAACAACTAAAGGACATGATGTTAACGTGACTGACTGAAAAGTAAATGACGTAAAACAAAAGAAAGCCATGTTATGCATGACAAGAACAGGGACAGCCTGTATCACAAACCGAGTTTGTGAGCATGCTCAGTTAATAACGCAGCTAAGCACCCTCAAGAGTCTCAAGTATGACAGCTTACCATGAAGAGGATAAAGCTTTAAAGCAAAGGCTGGAACATTTTATTCAAGTATACTTTGAGGTGAACACAACCGAGGTGATGTAGTAAACTTACAGAATTAAGAGCTTAGAGAGACTGTCTAGTTCAGATTATTTGACAACTAAGTTTAACAAACAGATCTGAAGTGAAAGTCAGACATCATTAAAAGACCAAGACACTGACATATGCAAAAGAGTTAAGAGCCAAGAATACAGATTGTGCAAAAGTACTTTGCCTCAGTAACAAAGAGTGAACAATCAGATTAGTTACCACCAAGTGCAATCTGTGCATCCCTAGAAACAAGATTATGCAATGGCCCAGAGCGCCCCATGCTCATCACCGTGGCAAAGCAACACACTCCAATTGCTGATCCTCCCCCGTTTCTATTAGAGAAAAAAACCCACTCCTTACATAAGTATTATTTTACAAAGCAAACTGATAACGCAAATTCATTCCACCTTGTGAATTAGTTATCGCAACAGGCAATGTTTTATTTATTTATTTATTTTTACTTAGGTTTTAGTTTTTCCAGTTGGAAAAACTGCAACAAGGCCAACCCACTGCTTGTGGGCAATGTTACCTGGCTTCAAGAAAAAGTGGACCATGAGATGACTCCATGAAGATGGAATCTTCAACAGAGCTGACGGCGTGCACCTGGTGAGTAATACTGCCTTCGTCGTCTGCTAACAGCATGGCACCCCACTCAGCTACCCGGGCTCTTAACCTTTTGTACACATGCATACAGTTTGTAGTTCACAGCAGAGCTCACAAGGGGACTCAAAATAACGTCTCTCAATTAAACAGCCCACACGGAAACTGAGTTGCCACCCTTTTAGATGCATCTCACACTTTCTATATTTAAAATAAATGTATTCTATTGCAAATCACAAAACCTAAAGAAAAATCTATCTATATGTACTCTTTAAAACACTTGCATACAGGCAAGGCAACCTAAGGCTACAATATACATTCTCTATGTATCTCTCAAGGCTGGTCTGAGCATTCCAAAATGCTAAGTGAGGGAAGTGGCTGAAAGCAATACCCTAGGTGGTACCTGCCAGTATGTGGTAACCATAAGTATTTGTTCAAAATGAGACTGACAGTTATTAGTCATGAAGTTTATAGATACTTCTAATTTCAGAGTACCAAAAACTACAAAATACATCCATGAAAAACTGAGTCCAACAGCCCAAACTCAGAGACTGCTAGGAACCCAGAACAAGGGTTAGAAAGCTCATAACTCCAAGGCAACTGAGATGTGCAGAACCAACCGTGGGAAGGCAGGTTAAAAGTGCATCAGAGCTTTTACTTCAAGCTTTGGTTTCTATGTGACTTTTGTACATTTTCACTGATGGAGGACTTTTTAAAAACTTTTTTACATTTATTTATTTTTTTTTACTTAGGGAAAGAAAGGGATTAGGATTAAAGCTAGCTGTAATCGCATTAAAATCAGTCAAAATAATTTCTCATATATATTTAAGTATGAAATCTGCTGCACACAGCTCCCTTTGTTGTATTTTAAGAAAGTATTACCATTCAGAAAAAATAATGTATTCTGACTGACTTTATTGCTTAGTTTTCTTTTGCATCTCAAGACAGTAATTATATTCCCCAAGGTGTAGTAGAGCCTTCAATAGGCAAAACAGCAGTTCATATTTATATAAGACAAACAATGTAGAGACATGCTCAGAGATACCTAAACACTTAAGGCAACTACTGACTCAGAAAATATATTTTAATGATGCCACTGATGTCAGAGTTGTTGTTTCAGGCACTGTTAGACATGGAAAACCACTCTTCTAGACCAGAAAGCTACTCAGATAACTATTTTATGCCTTTACCAGGTGAGTTTAAAAGCAGCACTAACTAGGTTCTATTTACAGAAGAGAAAGGTCTGTGATGGGTGGCACTGTGGCCACTGCTGGGCTGACTGAGACGCCTAAGCAGAAACAGGGCCGTCTTAGGGGTGTTCCATATCTGATAGGAACCGAGTCACTGCTGTCACTTTAGGTCACAAGTAGAAGCAGAGTAACAGTTTATAAATGTGCTTCCCAATTCATTTCTAAATTCAAGCAAAAATAATTCTTCCACAATTCAAAATCATAATCCTTTCAAAATAACACATAAAATACCATCTTACATTAAATTATAGTGTCTTATTGCGTACTTTTTAGTTCTTCTTAAAGTTTTAAATATTAAAAAGGTAATACTCATATGCTCATTGTAAGATATGTGCAGAATAAAAGCAAAAAATCACCTACCACCCTAACTCACCTAAAACAACTAATTAAAATTTGGGCTATTTCTTTTTAGACTTTTTCTATGTATTTCTTACACAGATGCAAAATAATTTATGTAATTTTATATTCTTTAAAAACCATTACCTAGCCCTGACTGGTATGGCTCAGTGGATTGGGCATTGTCCAGCAAACTGAGAGGTTGCCAGTTCAACTCCCAGCCAGGGCACATGCCTGGGTTGCAGGCTGGGTTCCCCGTTCAGTGTGTGGGGTCGGGGGTGGGGTGGTGGCAGCTGCCAATCGATGCTTATCTTACACATTGGTGTTTCTCTCCATGTTTTCCTCCCTTTCCTTCTGTCTCAAAATAAATAAAAATCTTTTTTTTTTAAGCAGGATTCCTTTTAAAAAATATTTTATTTATTTATTTTTAGAGTTGGGAAGGGAGGGAGAAAGAGAGAGAGAGAAACATCAATGTGTGGTTGCCTCTCATGTGGCCCCCACTGGGGACCCAGCCCGCAACCCAGGCATGTGCCTTGACTGGGAATCGAACCGGCGATGCTTTGGTTCGCAGCCCAAGCTCAATCCACTGAGCTACGCCAGCCAGGTAAATAAAAATCTTTAAAAAACAAAATAAAACCAAATCTTATGAAAGGTCTTCTCCTTACACAGGTGTGAGAGCAGGTCAACATACCCTTAATAATAACCAAATTAGGACTTGGGTATTATTGAGGCTGCTACTTAATAAGGCAGAGAGAGCAAATGTTTCAAAATTCAGGCAATAAAGAGTAAGAATTGTGTCTATGCCCTGGCCAGATGGCTGAGTTAGTTGGAGTATCATCCCATGCACCAAAGGGTTGTGGGTTCGGTCCCCAGTCAGGGCACATACAGCAGGCAACTAATTGATGTTTCTCTCTCTCTCTCATCAAAGAACATCCCTTAGGTAAGGATTAAAAAAAACCCCTGTGCTTGTGAACAGCCACCCCAGGCATATAAGATGCTTTTTGATTAACTCTGCAATTTACACTGAATATAAGAACATGACCCAAAATCTTTATTGGTTCAATGCTTTTAATCAATAATAAATAAAGGGAATATATCAATTGCAATATTTAGAAACACAAAATAATCATATCCTAAAGTGTTCAACAGCATTAAACCCATTCTAGCTATTCCTAAATGGGGTATTTTCAATTTTTTAAAAGATTTTATTCATTTATTTTTAGAGAGAGGGGGAGGAAGAGGGAGACATCAATGTGTGGTTGCCTCTCATGTGCCCCCTAGTGGGGACTTGAGCTGCAACTCAGGCATGTGCCCTGACTGGGAAATGAACCTGCCATCCTTTGGTTCGCAGGCCCGAGTTCAATCCACCGAGCTACACCAGCCAGGTCATTTTTAATTTTTTAAAAATAATGTGTCACAGGATGTTATATATCTGGGATATGGAAACTATATTAAAGAGATCTACAAGTCTGCAAAAATTAGAACGTCAGGAAGGGGGAGAATTCAGTGACATCCAGGTATCAATTAACCTTCTTGAGGTTGCAGGCTACTATGCAGAAGAAAAGTATAGTAGAACATACTCAAAAGCAACAAAGCCAAGACTGTAGGATGAGTGGTTCGACCCATTTTAATCAGCCCTTCCATACAGCTTGTCAGAAACAAATGTGAATTTCCCATTTTTTCATTTTTCTCACTTACTTTATCCTTTCCAAACAGAACAAAGAAGTATACAAATGCACTAATATGAATGATCTTCTAATTTTATAAATCTGTTCACATATGTACCTCAGGTATGGAGTTTCAAGTTACTACTCTGAAAGAGCCTATTTAATGGTAATGTATGTACCCTAAAGTTACTAGGGCTCACAGATATCATATGTAGCTTTCTGCTACTTCAATTACACATCTCAACTTGAAAACTGTACTGAGGTCAACCAAACTGTAGTTTTATACTTTTAATAACTCCCTTAAAAAAATCCTCACCCGAGGATATGTTTTTATTGATTTTAGAGAGAGAGGAAGGGGGAGAGGGAGATAACGAGAGTAAGGGAGAGAGACAGGGGTGCAGGGGTAGAGAAAAACATCGACTGGCTGCCTCCTGTACAAGCCCTGACCAGGGATCGAACCTGCAACCTAGGTATGTGCCCTGACTGGACATCGAGCCCACAGCCTTTAGATGTGTGGAACCACACTCCAACCAGTTGAGCCACCTGACTAGGGCAATAACTCACTTAAAAAAAAAAACTTTAAATCTCTCTGCTTTTATTCCTTTCAATGCTTCTGCCTGGCAAAGTAATTTGTTGAAATTTCTAATAAAAATGTCTTTACTGCTAATAATTAATTTTAATAATGACAATTCTCCTAATTGAACTAGTAGGCATGAATATTCTATTAAGATATTTCTCAAAACAGGTTAAGAAATCAAAATATAGTATCCAAGAAAGATGAATTACAACACAAAAATCGTAAGAAAGCTGTTAACTGAGCATGCCTGAATAATAACATACCTTGGAAAAGGACACAGGTGTGCATCAATGTCAAAAAAAAATGCTTTAGCAAGCATTAGAAGAATAAAAGTTTGGATGATCATAGGTACACGGGAAATATGCCATGGGAAACACAACATCTATATGATAACTACCGATACTTAAAGATCAGACTAAGCCAACTCCACCTTGTGTGACCTTTAATATATTAACCAAGTGGCAAAAGTATTTTAAATTATAAGCAGCAGCAGCTTATTTAATGAGAACCTGTAACATAATCTCTCGTATAATTTTAAACTTGTGACTATGTACCCAAATTCAAAGAAGGAATACAGAAGTTCCATACGAAACAACACAGGACAGACTTCCTTGCATACAGTATTTCACGGTAACATAATATCCCAAGAATTCTCAAACATTATCCCAAGAATCTCTGTAACATTAAGATCTGTAGGAACCTACCCTTTTCATAAAGCAATCCTACGAAGAGATAGTTTATTTTGGCATGACAACAATAAAATCCTTTCTTCAAAAAAAAAAAAAGTGAGGGCTCTTCTATTAAGTAACATGATTTTGTTTATTTTGGTATGACAACAGTAAAACCCTTTCTTCAAAAAAAAAAAAAAAAGGTGGGGGCTCTTCTATTAAGTAACATGATTTTAAATTGTGTAAAAGAGCTTAGGTGATTATTAAAGCAATATGGGCAAATTAAGTCAATAACAAATGGCTTCAATGTCACATACATTCAACTTAAAAAACACACTAAAACCAGGGTGAAAAATGCAGTGGGTGTGACGACTGTCCATGGCACCACTGGGGCTCTGCAAATAGTCAGTGTGAACTACGCCCTTGGTTTTGGAAGTAAAACGTGGTTACCAAACTTAAGGAGTAACATGAACAAATAATGTATACGGCTAATGCAAATAATAAAATTGAATAAAAGAAATCCTAAAACCAAAATAAACATCAAAGAAATTCACACCAAAATAATAAACTTTAAA